AAAAAAAAAAAAGCTATAAATGTGCAGAACGAGGAGGCACACAAATATAGTAACACAAGCCCCATTTCCCCGGCAAGCATGGGCGGAGCCACCCTTGGACAAGGTGGGCTCCAGCCCCATGTAATTTTTTTTCTTCTTTAGTTTAGTATAGATTATTTTATTTGTAGCCCCATTTAAATATTAGTCTAGCCCAATTTAGCTTATATGTTTTTAGGAAGAAACTCAATAATTTATTAATTTTTATCTCAAAAGTAGAAGAGGTTTGAGCATTTTTAATAAAAAAACATACACAAATTATTGCTTATTCTAATTTTATTTTACAATTTTTTAAGAAAATTGTTAATTAATGTTTGTTTTAATAGTGATTTTCTTATGTTATGTAATGATCAAGAGCTAATAGGAATTGATCTGTGATGAAAAATTTAAAAATATACTTAGTTTGGACACAAAGTTATTTGATGAAAGCACAACTAAATATTTGAGATAATAAAATTTAAATTTGTATAGGCTAAAATTTGCATATTTGGACATGCTATAAAATTTGCATATTTGTATAGGCTAAAATTTGCATATTTAAATATATATACTTTCTTTTATCGTTTAACATGTTGTGTTTCTTCTTATTGTTTTCTTTTTTATTTTGGTTGATTCATATTGAATTATGTTATTTGAAATAATATTGGTTATTTATGTAATTTATATTACATTACATATGGAATATATCAATTAATTTATATTTTAATTTACATATTTTGTTTCTTCTAGAATTCCAATAGAACATTTTTTTTGTGATTCGACTTATGGATTTTAATAATTTAGATTTGGCATTCATTGGATTCTTAAAATACACCTTCATTCATTTAACTTTGTAATTCATGTAAGTTGTATTGGATATTAAAAAGAATTATTTTCATATATTGGTTTCTTATGGCATCTAGCTAAAGATGTTATTCGAGCCGAGGCAAGCGGGATATCTCATGTTCGAACTTGTGATTATTTAATAAACAAGCTTGATTAGGTATTCGAGCTTAGGCTTTGAAGTATATGAAATAGTTGAGTTCGAGCTTTCACGTGCCAAAAATGAATTGTGTTCGTGAATAGTTTGATCCGAATAATAGCTCAATGTTAAACAGCCCCAGGTAGAAAAAAATCCTGGCTACGCCGGCAAGGGACCGCGCTGGGTGGAGAGTCATTTGGAGATGGATCGGACCGCAACGGGTTCGACAATTTCTTTGGCTTGCTGTTAAAGAAAAGTTGCTCACGAATGTAGAGAGGCACCGACGACACTTAACGCAATCGCCCTTGTGTTCTCTATGTAGACGATCGGAGGAATAGACCCTACATTGCCTTCGTGATTGTGTAGGAGCTAAGCAATTATGGAGAGCTTTGATTCCTGTAAGTCATCATTCTGTGTTCATTTCTTTGCCTTTGCGGGAGTGGATAACTCAAAACTTGTAAAATGGGCTACACATTGGGGTTGTTGCTTGGGAAACGATTTTTGGTGTCACTGTGTGGCAAGTGTGGCGGGGTCGTAATGAAAAGATTTTTTCGGACAAAGATTTCATTG